GATGCTGAGACGTGGTTCAAGGGTGGAAATTTCTATCAAGTGTATCCACGGTGAGAGAGACAGAAAAGTAATGAATTTTATATCATTAATAGTTGACACACATTCATTTTTATTGCAAAAAATAAGATCATTCAAAGATGACAACAATGACGGTATTGGCGATCTCAAAGGAATCACTTCAAAATTGGAACATCTAAAGGACATCGGAATCGATGGCGTCTGGTTGTCACCAATTTACAAAGTGAGTATTTACAACTTTAAATAGTTAATGCGTGTTAGCTGTTTATTTTTTTCTTTTCTTCCATAATTTTCTTACACTTTTAAGAGCCCGATGGTAGATTTTGGATACGATATCTCAGATTTTACACAAATTCAACCTGAATACGGTACACTCGAGGATTTCGAAGTATTGGCACAAAAATGCAAACGCCTTGGTCTTCGTCTCATTTTGGACTTTGTTCCAAATCATTCATCTGACCAACACGAATGGTTCATCAAGTCGGTGAATAAAGAGGAAGGATATGAAAATTTCTATTTTTGGCACCCAGGAAAAGTCAATGAGACAACCGGTGAACGTAGCCCACCATCCAATTGGCTAAGCAGTTTTCGTTATTCAGCATGGGAATGGAATGAAAAGCGTCAAGAATATTATTTGCATCAATTTGCAATTCAACAACCAGATTTAAACTACCGAAATCCAGAAGTACTTAAAAAAATGAACGAGGTATTGATTTACTGGTTAGAAAAAGGAGTGTCTGGATTCAGAATTGACACAATCCCATCCCTGTACGAAGTTGCACCTGACGAAAATGGCAATCTTCCCGATGAACCGCCAAGTGGTAATTGTGACGATCCCGTCGATCCATGCTACTTGAAACATATTTACACATATGATCAAGATGAAACATATGATGTGGTTTACGAATGGAGAGAACTATTGAACAAATTTCATGCGGACAATGGTGGAGACCAACCAATTTTAATGACTGAAGCGTATTCCGACTTGAATCATATCGTCAGATATTATGGAAACGGACAACGAAATGGATCCCAAATCCCTTTCAATTTTCATCTTTTGCCTAACGTTAATCGAAATTCGAAAGCAGCCGATTACAAAAAACTCATTGAAGAATTCTTGCAAGCTGTACCATCCGACTGTGAAGCCAACTGGGTGGTAAGTAGTAGGTTTGTCCATTTTTGTTCCGCATTGGTACTTTTTTCATCGCAATTTTTGTAGATTTACACTTGAAAAACTCAAATTATGGGTGCAATTTGTGGCTCTGCAATTTGGCTGCATCCATTATTTGAGCTTTTAAAGAAACAAAACAACAACAATTGTCTGATATATTTCAGTTGGGAAATCATGATCAAAAACGTGTGGCTAGCCGTCTCGGTGAAAAAAGAGTTGATTTGTACAACATTTTGCTGAAAACTCTGCCCGGTATCTCTGTTACTTATGCTGTAAGTGAGAAAATAATCATTAGTTTTTAAATAGTATCTTTTTCTTCATTATATGTCACCAAAATGTAAATAAAAAATATCTTTTTCATCATGAATATTTAAAAAAGGGCGAAGAAATCGGTATGACTGATGTAATCATTTCGTGGAAAGGTAAGAGACTCAAACTTATAAAACGAAGACAAATAAAGGAAATTTTGTATTAATAGTGTCTTTTCATTCGTCGTTTTACTTAACAAAAATATATAGATACGGTTGATCCACCAGCATTAAATTCAAACGAAACAACCTATTATGCAGTTTCACGAGATCCAGCTCGCACTCCAATTCAATGGGATGAGTCGAATAATGCTGGCTTCAACAGAGGCAATAAAACGTGGCTTCCGATCAGCACTAACTACAAATGCGTCAACGTCAGAACCGAAAGCACTCAACCCAAAAGCCATTTGAATGTATACAAACGTTTGACAAAACTCCGCAAAGAAGCAGGTCTTGGCGCTGCTTCATATGAATCGGAACTTTTTGGAGAAATTTACACATACAAACGGTAAGAATTCAAACTGAAACTAAAATATGGTGAAAAGTGAAAACTTTAATATGAAATACGTACGATGTCGTTCCATTATTGTTGCAGTCAAAATGATTCACTTAAGCCAATAATAGTGGCTTTGAATTTCGGAAATTCCTGGACAACGATCGATGTTTCAGCCAGATACGGTGTATCAGAATCATTGAAGGTCGTTACTGCATCAATTGAGTCACAATACGAAGAAGGGTAAGTGTCAATAACGATGTCATTAAATCATCATTTGAAAATGATTAACTTTTGATTTCCAATTAATATAAAAATATCTATCTACTTGAAATAGACAAATCATAAATGGTACTCGACTCACATTGCCAAACGATGTTGGAATTGTACTTACAACAGTTTAAATGAATGCTTGTCTTCAATATAAATGTATGTCAATCGAACGCCAGTATAAATGTATTATCTATTCACTTTTGATATTCTGATAAAAAAAAAAACATTGCATTTCCATTGAGTACAAGGGTAACTACAGTATTTTCGTTTTTTCCCTTTTTTCAAGAGTCTTAATTAATCATGTTTACCGTTCCCTTCTTCCTATATTCACATTTATTTTTTCTCACGTTAGCATGTAAAAATATCATTGTCATACCTTCAATGCATCACTTATTGTGATAAGATAAACGAACAAGTGGAGTATGGCTAATTAATAATAAGTTCACTTCATTAGATAACGATGTTGAAGTGATCATAAACTCTTAACTTTTATTTTGCAGAAACTCAAAAACAGTCCTTGTGTCGATCCCCCGCTGAGTGGAATTTTTCCAACTATGATGTCATCAAAATGTCATTTGATCTACTTGAAGCCAATTAACATATTTCGTGTATACGCCAAACCTCCACATAGTAATTGTCGAGATTTTGCTCCACCCTTTTTTTTGCACGCATGTCATTTCATTTATTTTGAATTTGATTGATTTCGAATGCAACCTGCTCCAATCAAAAATAAAAACAATACGACCTCGCTTAATCGATCGTGCTATTTTTGTATTTTAACCTCCCAAACCGAAGTGATTTTTGGACAATTCATTAAATGGCTTTATCATAATAGTGTTATTAATGGTTCGTATCAAAATGAAAAGGAAACATAGTGGTTTTTGATGTATTTAGAAAAAAGCTTTCCTTATAATTTAGGTGTTCAATTTATCTTGGATTTCCATTTAAATTTCTTCTTCAAATAATTTTGCAGTTCTCAACTGTATGTCAAAGTCTGTTAATAATCGCGATTAATTCAAATAATTTAGTTTGATAATTGAATATTTGTATTACCTCATTTGAACGCCTCAGAACCAACCGAATATTTTTGCAAAAATATGAATATATTGAAGTCATATTTTTGTTCTCAATTTTATTAAATATTTTTTTGCCCACAATTAATGTTGGCTGCATATGTTCTTTCCCATGGATAACTAGAAATGATATCTAAATTCATTGTGTTTCTAAATTCATTTTGGATCTTTTCTTCTAAACCAAAATATATTCTTCTTAAATGTAGTGGTTTTTTATGTGAAAAATATGTAGTGTTTTTTTTCCCTGAGTTAATTCATAACCACGTGAAACATACAAAAAACGATTCAAAAATATGTTCGATTTATGATAGTTGGTGGATAAAAGAGCATCATAGCAAATAATGTCAGACCTAGCTATTAGATGTTAAGTACAGAAAAAGAGCGATTGCCCCCTCTCGGCATTTGTTATACAGAAAAGTGGACAGATAAGCATAAACTGTAAACAATGTATTGTTAATTAAATTCCTTTCACTGAGAATGATTTTCTGCTAATAAAACTATCTGACTGACCCATTTTTTTAGTTAATTTAGCGCAGGGAAAACAGACTCGATGAGCTGAAACCCATTTATTTATTTTTTTGAAGTTAATTTATTTGATTTTGAGCAGCAATTCTTCTTGAATTCAATTATATAATAAGAAGCCAAGTGGCATACTTTTTATACAAAAATAGTAAATCCACACTGCGTTCAGGGGCGGGAGTATGTTAAGAGTGTGAACCGACTTAAACCGGATCACCTGAATTGACACGTCGCATCAATGCGAGGTGTAAAGAAATCAAAATAAAACGAATAAATCAGTATGTCTTTAAACACTAAACTCAACGGCTTTTACAACGGCGAATAACAATTTGCCATCCAGCCAAATGCAAACCACAGAAGAAACCATTATCCAATAACAAAAAGACAAACTGATAAAAAAATGGTTTATGACTTTTTTATTTGATTCGAGTTAACTTTTCTTGTAATTCGAAAAATCAAATCGCAACAACTAGCTGTAGTAGCTGATATCAAACGTTGACAAAAATATCGGTGAATTTGACATTTAATTTCTTGTTTATGTTTGTTTATATTTTGCTATTAAATTCAATTAATTATAGCGCCATCTGTTGTTTGAAATTGAAAAGAATGTTGAGTATATTCAATAAAAAAAAACTATATTATTTCTTATTAATAACAGAAAAGATACAAGTCATTTTCTTAATTCGTTGCAAACGGTGTTTGTTCTGGTGTTTTTACATGGAAGAGACTTTGCAAAGCTTCTTGAAGTGCACGCTGACAAGCCAGTCCGCATTTATAGCCGCCTGCACGTTCCCCGGCCGTTTCGGTTCTGTAATTCGTACGAGATAAAAAGTCAATTTAAATATATATGATCTGAATCGTTTCTTTCGCTTTCTCTCTAATGTTGATGTTTACCTAACATGACGTGTGTATCCTCTGTGTTCGATTTCGGCTATACTTGGTGCAAGTGGACCGTCAACAATTACCACTGGTTCTTCATATGTATACAATGGTCCTTCTTCGATTTTTGGTACCGGTAAGAATTGTGTTTGCTGTCCAAACTTAACGCCCGTTGAAAATTCCGATTGTTTTTTAACCACAGCCAATATTTCTTTCTCTTCTTCACGTAATTTTTCTACATTTTCCGCATATCCTTTGACAATGCTTTTAGCATCTTCGTGACTAAACATTAATTCATCGATCAGAGCCTCTTTTTCCTTCAGTTTTTTCTTTTTAGCTTCATTTTCGATTGTTTCGCGTTCCTTTTGACGTTGTAATTCTTCTGTCTTTTCTCGTTCCAATTCGATTTCTAATTCAAGCTCTTCACGCCCCATTCGTGACTTATTTTTATTTATCATTTCACGATTCTCTCGTTTATACTGTTCGATTCGTTTGTTTGTGTTAATAATGTCGATGTTGTTGCACAAATTGTAAATAATTTGTTCAATTTCTTCCAAATAATCATCGTATTCACGTGTCGTTGCAAAGTCCTCTTCCTATCGAAAAACAATTGTTTGGCAATGGAAGGAAACAAAGTGAAAAGAGAATTGAAATTAAAATCGATGAAGCCTAGCAAAAATGTGTTGATTTAAATAGAGATGCATGTTCCTATTATAAATCGTCAACAATGGATTCAATTCGGGTATTGCGCAACATTAAATATCACCTGAATTTCATCCTATTTCGACGGTAGAAGTCATTTTGTATCTCTGAATCGACTAAACTCTGAACAAAGTGCATTATTTTGTGAATGCAATTTTAAAATTGAACGTATTCACACCTTTTTGTTGTAATCTCTAAGAATACGCTTTCGAATGTCCACTTCCTTTTCAACCATGGGATCTTCGAACATCTGAACACGGAAATTATTTCGACGTAATGGCACATTGCATTCCGGGCACGATCCAGAACCTTGAGAAATATACAATTTCATAACATGATGAAATTCATATTCAATTGAAAACAATTTAAAGAGAAAGCATCTTTTACCTTTTACAAAGAGTAGATCGACACAGCTCTCACATAATGTATGGCCACAAACGTTGACCATCAATTTTAATGATGGATTTCGATATTTTGTTGTCTTACATTTTGGACACACTTGGTCTTCCATGTTTTTTCAGCTAATCACCTTCGCTCACTTACTGAATAAACATCAATTTTAAATTATTTTTACGAAAATAAGAATAACAATGGTATTGTAGTGTTGTTAGCGAATTTCTGGCGTTGACATATGTGTCATGCACAACATCATTGTATTTATATGTATGAACATGTTTGACTTAAAACACACTGTGTTCTGTCAAATTGCATGTATTTTTTTTTCTTTTTTCTTCTCATTTACGCTCAATATGACCACTTTAATATGGCAACACTTCAGCGTTCGTTTGACGAATAAATGACAGAATTTCATCATATTCGGCAATGGTTTGCTTTTACAATATATATATTTTTTTCAAAACATAGTTCCATTTATTAAAAAAGAAGTCGCATAAAATAAATGTTGAAAAAAAGTTGATTAAATAAATTCGTATAGGGATAACCAAAAAGTCCAAGAAGAATTATTCTCGAATAAAGGAAAAGTGTTGCCAACTGATGTTGTGCTCTGTTTTGTGGTGATACTACTACATTGACAGTGTGAGGTGTACGTATGTGACTTGTGCAATACAAGCATACACAAGTAATGGTACAATTCCAGAAGATTTGTGCAGAGCGGCTGTTCAGTTTTGTCATTACATTTATAAACATCCAGTCGCCATTTTCAAGCGTTACTAGTGGTTTCGAACAACACACAAAAAAAGCAATTGCAAAATTTATTCCATTTTCATACAATCTAAGTATACTTAACCATTCTTTGAGCCGGTTTGCAATCAATTCGATAGCTTGTACATTTTTCAAAAAGATTTTTTGAAATTTGATCAGTACCATCGATAATATACTCTGAGCACGAATTTATCGCCGATTTGTATAGAACAGATCGAGCAACAAAAAAAGAGAGCCGAATAGAGTGAGAAAAACAACCGTTTTGTATTTGTTTGTGTGTGTGTGTGTATGTGTATTTGTCAACGTGCGATAAAATAACCAACGATGGGTGATTTCAATCAAGATGCGATTGCACAATTAGAAATGCAAAATCCAAATGCATTGCGCCGACCATTCGATCCAACCGCCCATGATTTGGAGGCCACATTTCGATTGACCCGGTATGCTGACTTGAAAGGACGTGGCTGCAAAGTGCCGCAAGATGTTCTTGGTAAACTCGTGTCATCACTGCAACAAGACTATTCACAACCGGATGATGAGCATGCTCAATTCATGAATATGGCCATGCCACGCATCGGTATCGGGCTCGATTGTTCGGTTACACCAATTCGTCATGGTGGTCTATGTTTGGTACAGACAACCGATTTTTTCTATCCAATCGTCGACGATCCATATATGATGGGAAAAATTGCTTGCGCCAATGTTTTGAGTGATTTATATGCCATGGGTGTCATGGATTGTGATAATATGATGATGCTATTGGCGGTCAGCACAAAAATGACCGAAAAAGAACGTGACGTTGTTATTCCATTGATTATGCGAGGTTTTAAGGTATGCTTTGATTATTTTTTTTCATACGCTGAACTTGTTGCTTAATGTGTTTTTTCATATATGTTTTTTCCCCCGTTGCAGGATTCAGCATTAGAGGCTGGCACATCGGTGACCGGTGGTCAAAGTGTTGTAAATCCATGGTGTACAATTGGTGGCGTTGCATCGTCCATTTGTCAACCAAACGATTATATTGTGCCAGATAATGCGGTTGTTGGTGATGTGCTTGTATTGACAAAACCATTGGGCACCCAAGTTGCGGTCAATGCACATCAATGGCTTGATCAACCGGAACGCTGGAATCGTATTAAATTGGTTGTATCGGAGGAAGACGTTCGAAAAGCCTATCATCGTGCAATGGACTCGATGGCACGTTTGAATCGTACCGCAGCCCGTTTGATGCACAAATACAATGCACACGGTTCCACTGATATCACTGGATTTGGTTTGCTTGGACATGCACAAACATTGGCATCGCATCAAAAGAACGAGGTTTCATTTGTCATTCATAATTTGCCGGTCATCGCTAAAATGGCTGCGGTTGCCAAAGCATGCGGTAACATGTTCCAGTTGCTTCAAGGACATTCGGCCGAAACATCCGGTGGATTATTGATTTGTTTACCACGTGAACAAGCCGGTAAGCATTGTTTATTTTTTCATAAAAATGAAATCAATTTTGCTAACAATTTCGGAATCATTTTTTTCCTTTTTTTATTGATTGTAAATTAAAAACAAACTGTTTCATTGCAGCTGCATACTGTAAGGATATAGAAAAACAAGAAGGCTACCAAGCTTGGATCATTGGAATCGTTGAAAAAGGCAATCGCTCCGCTCGAATCATCGACAAACCACGAGTCATCGAAGTTCCAGCTAAAGAATAATTTTTTTTTAGTTTAAAAGAGAAAACAAAATCGTTTTATATTTGAGTCAAATAATCCAAGTACGTCAAAACTCAACAAAAAGCAAAGTAATGGCAACACGACCAAAAATGAGAAAGTGCGACTTTTTCCTATTTTGAATTTTTCACAAATTTAACTTTTTTTATATATCCTACCGATTTGGTTCATTTTTTACTTTCTCCAATAAAATTGAAAAACCTTCACAGAAGAATATGACAAATCAACACAGTTATGTAGTAGTTTCGGTATTTTAAAAAAAAAGCATAAAAAAAAGAATTAAGTACTGTCCATGTTGAATGAAAATAAACAATTCGAAATTGGAATTTGAAAAAAAACGGATACAATTTATTTTCTCATTAAATTTAAGTGTTTATTATTTTTAAAATTAAAAAAACCAAAATTTATTTTCTAAAATAATACGTTTCCTGATCAAATAGTTAGTTTGATTATTTTTAGGTTATGTTCCTTCAACTTTTTCACGTTCAATGGAAAATTTGGATATTTTCTTTATGAAATAACAAAGAAAACCAAAATCATTGGTAAGTCACCAAAAAGTGATGCAAATAAATGAATTTAATTAATTAAGAACAAAAGCAGTTTTTTTATAACTATCCTCTGTTTTCATCACCGAAAGAAAGAAGAAAATGTGTTATCGGAAAAGTCAACAAATGAAAAACAATACAATTTTTCAAAAATAAAAAATTTCGTATTTTATTTATTTTTTGAATTTTTGCTTAAAAGTTATTGTATATATATGTATATCTAAAGATGTGCATTTATTGGGCCCTAGAGTGCTGTCTTATAATTCAAAGTCGTCTCTCTGTAAAGGAGAAAAGGTCGAACGAAAAAATATAATGTCGGTTTAGCAGTCAATTGAATTGCGCCAAATACTTACCATATTATTGTATTCCATGACATGTCTACGAATCTTAGAACTGTCGACCCACGTGACAAAGTCTTCTAGTGTTCGTGAAACTAAAAATGCCGGATCTTTAACAACATCTGTACCAACACGAACATGACCTTGTTCAATAAGATCGGTCGCATTCTTTATGAACTCTGACATGTTATCTGAATGGAGAAGAAAATGCATTTAGGTTTCATCACAAAAAATTGACATCACAATGGCATACTTACTTCGAACCATAACAACAGGTAAACGTCGTCGACAAAAACTGCTGGCCGAAATGTTGACTGCGTTATTGAGATCCCACTTTGTTGGTATTAATCCAAGCACATACAATTTCTCCAACAATGTGGCACTCATTTCGGTTCGGAAGGGATGTTTTGCATCGATTTCACTAATCTTTTTCGCCAGGTCTCGAATCGTTCGCGATAATTTATTGTACCTTTATCAAACGAAATGGAAAAAAACCGAAGTCAGAAAAACAAATGTTCAACAATTAACTATACAGCAACTAACGTACTTTGTATAATCCTCACGTTTGCGAATATGGAATTTTCTCATCACTTTAGCTTCATGTAAATTATTGTCGACCGGCCAATTCATAAAATCGACCTTCTTCAATAATTTTTCTTCATGATATTTCAATTTACGCACCATTTTCACCGATTAACTATTAACTATTTGAGTCACAAAGAAAAAATGCAATGGATATATTGAGAAAATATCGAAATGCCAAAATGTAAGCAATGCTTGCTATGCTCATGTGTTGACAATATACGAAACATGCTGTTTTGATTGCTGTCATTATAAAAAAAAAATCACAGTCACGTCATCTAGCGGCAAGCTTTTGCATTTATTCGTACTTAAATGATGAGTTTTGTTTCGGTACAATATCAAATTGTTATCATAGAGTGGTCCAATTATTTTGAATCAAATTCTTGACGCATTTTGAATGAAAATGGCACACATTTTAAAATCAATAACGATTTTATGTTATTGAACGGAAATGATTTGGCAATTAAATAATTGGTCGATAGCTACCACTATTTTGCTTTTTAATTCGCATACGAATGTTGACGCTTTGCGATCAAACGAAACCATATGAAGTACATGGAATCGTTGTTGTTATTGTTGGTTTGATGGAGATGCTTGTTTCTGTCGTCGGTTGTTTCGTTTGTTTGTGCCGTGTGGTGTGTACGGTGTGATTGAAAACAGTCGGTGCGTGTTATTCAGTATTTGCGTGTCGGCCAGTTCGGTTGTGAAGCTTAAGCTAAATGTGTGTATAGTTTTATATATATTTTTTTTATTTCTCTCTCTTCTATTTACCGATTTTCTATGATAGCGCTCCATCGTTCTACGTGATATTTGTTCCGTTCTGATGGTTATTTTTATTATTTATTTTTGCTTTCATTTTAATTTGATTTTTTTGATTCAGTTTTATTGCGTTTGGCTCCAGCTAACGAATGCAATATAGATTTTCGAACAAAAGACACATGAACAGGTGCTCAAATAATTTCAAATGTGAAAATAACTGTCTCACCGTTTTGTTGTTACTGTTTCATTTCGAATTTCGTACGGATATAAAACATCGTCAAAAAATACAATATATTGTTGTATTAAATTAAACATGCAGTCAAACTGAAAATAGAAATACAGAAGCGAGCAAAAACAGTGTATAAGTGCGGTGAATTGTGACATTAACATATCGCATCTAATAAAATCTACCGGTTTGCCAATTGGCTATTACGTTTATTTGATTTGTTGCTCATTTGCGACAAACACATTCTTAAGGTGAAACAATAAGAAAAGTTAAAACATTCATGTCGGAAGGAAAATTTTTGAGAGATAAAGAGCAAAAAAGAACATAAGAACGGATAAACATTTTTTTTTAGTTTTGTTTGAAATTTCGCAATAAATAAACGAATAAAAGAGTCACACGCAAAATTGAGATTAACTATTAAATCATATAATTTGAGTTGATTGAAAGAATTTACTGTTAAAAAACTACGAAAATTTATTATTTGTAACGTGTTCGTGGTAACAAAAGAAAAGTGAAATAAAAAATTATCAAAGAATGATACCATTGAAAAGTCAAAACAATTGAAACGAAAAAAAAAAAAGAATTCTCAAACGATATACACCAATTTCAAAGCGAAAATCGCAAAAACAACGGGATAAATCGACGATCATTTACGATAGAAGCGCACTCGAGTTACAGTGCTAACGAAAACGTGCGTAAAAATGGAAACAAATTTACAAAGCAGTGAGGTTCGCATACCAAAAAGTCCACAATCGTCGAGCACATGTCCACAGTTTAAGAGCACATTTGCTAGATCGTTGTCCTTCAATACGAACACCCAACAAAATAAACCGTTAGATTTTGAAATCAGCTTTCGCATCGCTCAAAATGTCGAGCATTCGCAAAATTTGTCAACGACCACAGTGCCACAGCCGCACAAAGTTGACGATTTCGACGAAGAGTTTGCTGAATTTATGCGAGATTCACCATTAAAGCAATCATTGCAAAATTTATCGACAAAATCAACTACAACACCAATAACGCCAACGCGCAAAAATATTGTTGCATCGCGTGTATTCAACACAACCTGTTCCGGACGACATCGATTTCAGGTAGAATTAACGACAACATCAAATAATTTCTTTTTTTTAAACTATTTCTCTCTTTCTCTTGCACCCTCTCTCACTCATTTCCACTTGCATATTATTTGCCGCACATAGCATGGCAGATATTAACTTTTTGAGTGGCATTAATATCGAATATGAGTTGTTTGCATTTCTAGAAATGCCAATAGATTGTCCATAGTTTAAATGAATCACGAACTGAATTGCTATATGTAAAGATTTCATTTAGTTGTTGTTTTCTTCCTTTTGTATAGGACACGCAAGGGAATAAATCATGTTCGCCCGAAATTGAATTGCATCGTTTGCGAAAGGTAAGTTAAATCTGATTTCAGTGCACAACATTATAGCATTGTGTGCATTTTAACTGTTTGCATTTTGCAATATTTATGGTGTTAATGGCATCACACACAATGCCAGTCAAAATCAATGTTGGAAAATTACTTTGTTTTATTCGTTCCGGCTCTGTCAACGAACTTTGACAGTAATTGATGAGAATGCAACCCGAATCGTTTATGTTCGTTTATATTGCAAATATCGATTTAAGAAACTTATTAGCGAAAACCAAAAAGAGTGAGCGAGAGGGAGAGAGAGAAGCACATGCAAAATGTGGAAATAAAAAGGAAAGAAACAACGGCGATTTCGTGAACATAGCAAAGCAATGAGACGTGCAGTGGTCGTAGTTGCATCATTAGATGAGTGGCGTCGACCACATATATATGCTTGCAAAGGTCGTGCACTTTCTTCTAATCACGCTGTCTACACGTAAATCGATGAATTATCATGAGCGAGGTGAAACTTGATCGAACTCGCGGTACCGTTGTTTAGTGGTTTGGTAAAGGCCATTTAATTGAGAATTATTACCATTGCCGTGGTATGGCATTGTAAAAATGCACCTTTTTCTCTTCATCTATCTATCCAAAATTGTTGGCAATGAAGGCGGCAATGGCGATGGTGGCGGCCACAATCATGCAATGTGCTGTTGTTTTTACCATACGGTATGATCGGAAATGTGTTGTGTCGCTGCTTTCTCATGTGATTTGTTTTGATTGAATCAAGAGCGCAATGAATATATGCGATAACGTGAAAATGCTACAAAATTGCATATTAAGCAAAAATGCTCAGCGGCAGAACTCCCGTGGAAAAAAATACACACACGAGAAATAAAAAATATGCGGCTCAGAAAAACATTTGGCAATTCTCTTAAGATATTTCGACGAAAGGTTCAATTCCAACTTGATCTTAGAAATGTATACAAACCTCACTCAACGAAATCATCAACAACAACAGCAAAAAATCGTTTCATTTGAAATTCACTGCAAAATATGTTGTGTTTATTTTCTTTGCCCAGATACATATTTTTTCATCATTTTTCCAATGAAATGGCAATTGAAAAGATTTGTTTATCACACACCAACCAAACACTGCAAACCTATATATGCACAAAATTGGATTTTCAATGCTTCATTTGTACAATAAACAACATTTATTATAAGTGTATATATTTACTATTACGACTCCTGCCGCTGTTGTTGAATTTATTTATTTGACCACTATCGAAAACTATGAAGCAGTTTAGCGTCTCAAACCGGCCCAACGGCACAAACAAACAAAAAATGTGCGCTCACACACACACACACACAGAGAGAGAGAGAGAGAGAGATCACAAACTCATTGCAATAAAAACAATTTCGAATCGTTCAACATATTTAATTGGAAAAATATTCCGTTTGAAAATGTGATTTGTGAACGACTATAGAATTTGGGCCGTGCTATTTAACCATTATTTTCTCGCTTCCTCAATATCTCTCTTAAATTTAGCTTGAACTCTACGTTCATATGTTACGAATGTGAATATGAATTATATCTTGTGGCCAAATGCATATCAACACGGGCCGCTACACGGATCACATTTTCATTTCATATTCCATTTCATTTTACATCGTAATCGTGATGGCGACGTCGACCATACTGAATGAAACCGATCGAAATAGTTTGTATGTTGATTGTATCGCATCGCATCTGAATAGTAATTGCGTGAATCTAAAATTAGTTATAGATTTTTAGCGGTAATAAATAAGGTATGCATTTTGGTATGAATTAGTGATGACAGGTCTTCTCTCGTTCATTTGTATTGCGCGCCTTAAAATGGCAAATGTGATATTTGGTAGGTGCGCAATGGAAAACTGTGATGCGGATAAAGAGCGCATAGCCATTACAAAAATTGTTTTCAATGCTCTGCGAATGGATGATATTATTTATGATACAAACTGACAAAACAAAAGCATAATCCGCCAATTCACTCTGATTTTTCTCCACCCTAACAAACGATTTATAATCGAAATGTTGTCATGCATATAAATGCAATTGAGTTTATTCGATTTGAAATCAACAAATCGGTGCCTATACACTAAATGATAGTGGGTGGTTTATGATTGCAATCAAGTGATATCAAAATGCGATGGATGCATATTGTGCATATGTGTTTCATCATCGTTAGAAAGATTTATGGGTACGATTGAGATAAATTGGCATAAAATACATTTTGCCAGTATTGATTAACATTACAATATAGAAATAGGTACGATGTAAATGTGTGAAAGGAATTCGTGCTTGCTTTTGGCTTTCAAAGTGCCATAAATTGTGCGAAAATAGTTTATGATGAAAGTGTCAAAATGATTAGTATGACGCAGTTACTATAATACAACGGTGCACATGACAAATAGATTTGGTTTTCTTCAAAACAGAAACAAAAGAATGGACATCATAATAACAAACTAGATGCAAAATTATTTACTCGATTTTCCCACGAATTAATTAAGCCCAATTTATCTGATGTATATCATAAGCGAAAGAAACATAACATACAGCTCATAAAGCTATTAAGGAAGGCTTCGGATTGACCGACCATTTCAGAATGACGCTTAAAAAATGGTTCACATTCTACGGCTGTTATTTCGTTTTTATATAACTGATGACAGAAAATTCACCCAAAAAAAATGAGTTAATCTATGATTGCAAGAAATTTGTTCACCGAATAATTACTCATCTCTTTTATCAGTACGATCGAACGTTTTTCCGAGAGAAAAAAAGAGACTAGGTTGAAAAAGAAACGAAAAAAATGCCCATTACATAATTTATGGAAGCGATTGTTCACTGTCATGCTTATACGAACTACAATTTCTTCGCGGAAATGTGAAAAATAAAAATTTAAATTCAATTCTTTGAGGCCATTTTTCTTGTTTTCTTTCTGAAAGCATTTATTCATGCATTATTCCGACTGAAATGGGTATGGTCGAAATTTGATTTTATTTTTTTTTTATTTTCGATGTAAAGTGTACCAATATGTGTGTATGGATGTGTGTAAATAGTACAAAACTCTCGTTAAATTTCGTTTGCTGATGCAAACTAATAAACGACGCAATTTCGATCAAAGGGGAAAACATATTGAAATTATTGCACATAAAAATGATTTGCCACTAAAATAGCAAATTGATGATTGGGGCCAAACAAAAGCCACACCAAGACTTTTCAAATCGAACATCTCTCGCGCAATTCTCAATTCATGTATTTAATACAAATTTTATGTTCCTTTCCGTCATCTTATTCCAGCATATTTTATATTTTGAATCGGTGGCATTTTGCCAAACTCCGTTCATAGCGAGCGCATACTATGTCAAGCAATCGACTACATTGGCTAAATGTTAACTTTCGCACAAGCAATTCGAAATCCAAGGAAAAAACAATCGATCGATCCGAAAAATTTAAATTACAATTTTTAATTTGATTTTTTCATCTATTCCACGCTTTGTGTCTCCTGTAAACACACAAGCAAAGAAAAAGAGCGCGCACAAGAGAGAAAGAGTGGGACATTCGAATATGCAATTGAATTCTAGTGTTAATGTTTGCCGTTTTATTTGCCATTAAATCATGTGGACTTGGAGAGTCTATCTGTTTTTCAGTTACATCATTTCGGTGTACGGTGTTCGAATATACGATTGTTTCTGTTCGCTATGCGCGCACAGTATGTGTCTGATGTAAACAATGCGTTTTTTTAAACCGAACGTCATGTACGATTTGCTTTTGTCTTTCCATTTTGTTTGTGCGCAGCCGGATCAAGCAAGAGTGCACTTGTCAGGCTAAAAGTGTTTCTGTCTTTTTTTTTATTTTTGACTGCTCGCGCATCGACTGCATATTGCAATCATGTATATCTATCTATGAGCACGAAAAATCGTGCCATTTCAGAGACGAAATAAAATTTAAAACAAAAAAAAATGTAGCAAAAATATACACCATTTGATATTTTCTATTGCCCATTGAACAAAACATCCAAAATCTAATGAATTTTAACCGACTTTAGCTATATGATATTTTTCCGCTTTCATTTTCATTATTGCTTTGTTTCAAATTTGTTTTTTTTTTTCATTTGACTTTTACATCAAACGATCGCTACTGAGCGCAATCTTTACCGTTCTACAATCGATTTACGTCTTACAATGTTCACTTCTTTTTCTCTCTCTTTCCATCGCATCAACTGAAACTCACAAATCGAAACAATGTTCGATATTGTGTTCTTGAAATTGAAAAAAATATATAATCAACAACTTTCATTTTTTTTCGTTCACTATTAAGCTCGTCTGATTGCTTCACATTTGAAGCGTCAACATAAACTGTAATTTGGCATTTTTTTCTTCGTCTTCTGTTTACTTGAATTATGTTTGAGAAAAAAAAAATTTCTATAGACATTTCAATTTCGTTGAAAGTGCGCTCAAATACATACAAACATTGGCCGTTCGCAAACTCTCGGTGATTGGAAAACGGAATACATGTACAAAAGCAAAAAAAAAGAGCAGTAATAATAACAAACGAAATAACAATTCCGTTGTTTATGGTCGAATTTCACTTTGAAATCTAACTTTAGCACAAATTCTACAACTTTCGATGAGTTCCACTCTTTTCTGTCCATTGTCAACGCTCATTATTCTCAAATAAAATTGAACTTGTTTTCTAATGTCGACGGCCTCATATTCGCAACGAAACGAAGTTTCATCGAGATTCTTCAAATATTCAGTTGTACAGCACATGTTTCATTTTAATACCAACATACTCCACGGAATTCGATAGCAGACAATATGCAAATCCAAAAAAATATCTTAGCTATTCATGATTTTTCATGCACCAAGCCGTATCATCCTTTCTGTCTTACTACAGCCCAACCCATCTTACATTAAACTATAGAATGTATATAATCAAATCAAGAGAAAGAGAGAGAGAGAGTGAGAGAGAGAGGTAGAAGAAGAGAAATGAAGCGTGA